TACTCACCTCAAAGCTGGTCATGAGGGCTAAAGGGGGGGAATTGTGACTGTAACTGTTGTTGACTAAATCCTGTGTCCCCTTTTCAGCTCAACCATCTTCTAATCCTCAAAAACACTCATCCATCCATCCACGCGCCCACCCGTCCAGCCACGCAATATGGTTTAAGCACCTGCTCCGTTCCAGGCAATATGCAATACACTGATAATACTGATTTTAGTACACTAAGCTCCCTACCCTCCAGTTACCTACAGGTAAGTGAGTGTGGGAAGACAAACAAATATGAAACACACACGGCAGGAAGTACACAGAAGGGCGAACAACCCCTTAAATCTACAGAGTGCTTTTTATTCTTAGGGACTTTTACACGCAGTAGCTCCACTGAAGTCTCCTAACAACCTCAGGAGATATATAAGTGCTCTCTCCTACATATGAGGAAATGGAGGCAACTTAGCAGCAGCATGGCTAAAAATGCTGGTAGTTGGTGGGGTAGGAACAAGCCCTGTTCTGTGATATTACAGTTGCATAGAACAGAAGAGGTTTCCAGGGGGAGGACCGAAAGATCTGTATTGGCATTCTTTTGAAATAGGGTGATGAATAAAGAAGCTATAACTAGCTGTAAACAAAGTATCAGAAACTACAGGGACGCAGGACAGGGAACCAAAGGCACTAACTACCCCAAGCGTGAACCTGGGTAAGAGTTGGTTCAGGAGCACAGGCGGTTTGCCGTCTGCGTTGAAGCGTGGTCGCTGAATCATATCAACGTGCTCACATCTTTCTTTCAATCTTGATAGAATTTCTGCAGTTGCTCGGCATCACCATAGAACCCCTGGAACTCTGGCACAGTACACCGTCTACATGCTGAATCTCACATCTACTGCATTTCTCACATTTATGTTATCTTTCTTTGGGACATAAGGACGGTCTCTGGCTTCCACCCTCTCAGTCCCCACACTACATTTATTGGAGGCAGATACTCCCAGTCATTTGCCCAGAGTGACCCAGCCAGCAGGTGGAAAACATGGAAGCTGAGCTCAGGTCTTGAGATGTCAGTTCTGGGGCCCCGTCCGTCACATGAGGCTGCTCTCTGTACCACACACCAGAGGCAGCAAAGGACTCCTGCGTTCCCTTGTGCCCCACCTGGGTCTGAGCTGCCTGGAGGAATTTCCCATCCTGATCTGAACCTTTTCTCCTCTTTTCCTCTCTTCCACCAGGACCATATTGACAAATCTTGGAGTACATTTCTCCAGGTCCCTTGATTCAGAGGAGTGAGGTGGGGGTGTCCTCCCCCTACCCGTGTCCGATCAGCAAGGGAGAGATGTGGAGTGGAGTGTCCTCCTCAAGGCCCCAAGAGGCTGCCTAATCCACTGCTGGCTGTTCCAGGGAGCAGAATGCCCCCCTGGCCTTTCCGGAATTACAGCGCCTTCTGCCACGGGATGAGGCTGCCAACCAGCTGGACTACGAGTGGGGCTTAGTGTACTGGAACAGTATTGCACTTCGGAGCTCTGCCACCTCCTAGATGGATGGTCTAGGCAGGTCCCTTAGCTTCCCTGGACCCCAGTTTTCTCATCATGAATCAGGGAC